ACACACGAGTGGTGAGACACACATACCGGTCTCATATTGAATCCCTGTCCGGGCGGTCGGCGCTGTTGCTGCGGTTGCATGTGTTGTATGGGTCCGGGAGGTGTGGGCGCACCCCATCCGCCGGTATTCCTCATCTGCGGCGACACATTCCAGGGGCCGGACGTATGTCCGTAAGCCGGTGTCCCGTACTGTGGCGGCGGTGGCGGCGCGTGATTGTTGTGCCCATACATAGGCGGCGCCCCCGACGCCCACGGACTCGACTGACCACCGAAACGATTCATCTCTTGTCGCCTCTTGGGATCCGATCGAGTGATGCAAACAAACGCAAAACAAATGTCAGTTCAAGTGTCACTACACTCGCGAAGACACCATCGCTTGTGTCATCCATTGTCTCGCATTTACTTACAATTTGTGGTCAATTTGTGGCAATTTATGCGTCAAATGAATGCCAAATGAGTTGTCGTTTGCTTTCAATCAATGGATTTGTTTTCAACACTCATTCAAACGATTATCATATCATCCAAAATGGCGTACAAAGGGGTCATTCAAACCACTGGTTGAGCCCCTATTGCGCACGTATTTCATGTATTGTACGCTATTTTGTTGAGTAAATCTTCACTAGATTTTGGATTTTGTCACAAATAATGTGTTATTTTTGTGTGAATTTAATGTAAAATTCAAATTCAATGTATGAAAGGCTTATGAAAAGTGCTTTAAAAACCTATAGAGAGAGTGAATGCATTGAACATCACTTTCTGATGTTAGGTTAGGTTAGGTTGGGTTAGAAAGCACTGAATGCTAAGCTTATTGTTATGTCAGTAATACAGTACTCGCTTTGCGTTCAAAAAACTTTTTTTCATACGAAAAGCTTTTGTCTGATAAATCATTTGAGAGCTACTTTGGAAAATTGTTTGACGAGTTATAAGATATATATAACTATTTATATAATCCTTAAGCGGATTTGATTTAACGCTGTAATCATGAAATCATAAATCAATTATTTATTCACTAGCATTAGCCTTAATAGCGTATTTTAATGGGGATTAGACTCATGCAACAAATGATTCACTCGATCATCAAAAAGCTTTAAAAGTTTTTAAATTAGTTTTTTGTTTTTCAATTAACGCAAACAATTTCCAAATGTTTCCACAAATTATCACTTTTTGTATTTTGTTCAGTGGTTTGGAAAT